TGAACTTAGGTGGGTTACTAGCATTTTCTTTTCCCCAGAAATATGTATCTATTCAATATGAAAAGATATTTGTGCCCAAATTTTTCCAACATCTTGGGGAGTACTGTCCCTGTTGATTACAACAGAATCCCAGGTCTTTAGCTGCTGTGACACGAGCAAGACTGTTGTATCCATAATCATTCCTTCAGTTTGGTTTATTGATTACACTAAGAAGAATATTTATCTCCATTATTGCAGTCATTATGCAAGTTATTATGCCAGTTCACTATGTTTAAATTTGAATGATTCTAACACATTTGCTTAGTTCAGTTCAATAAAAGTCTTTTCAACAGTCATTTCAACATTTCACGTGTCTTTACAAGATTACCTGAAAGTGGTTTTGGTGGCATTTGGACTTCTTTCAACTAAAATTAAATGACTTGGACCATTGCTACAATTATGACTGAAGATAGTTTAGAAGATACAGAATTGACAGGCAGCAAAAGATCAACTTGTCTGTCAACTTACCCCAAAATGCAGCTGACTGGAACTGCAGAGCTAAACATTTGTTTCTTCCTTCTTTCCATGTGCTGCAATCCCACCATATCCTTACATTCACCTGGGAGAGATGAACAAAAGAAAAACCATGGGCCAATAATGGAAAACATACACTGGAAATTCTTCTCCCAACCACATTCAGTGATCAAAGCTGGCCCAGGAGATTTTTTTTTGCAAATCTAGATATTAGCCTTTTAAGCTGTTAGCTCCTTCTGATTTTGCATTTCCTGTTTTAACGTTAGTATCAGTGTTAACTAAACAAGTCTTGATTGTTGTGATGTAAGTTGGGTAGATTTTTACTTTGGGTGATATTGTGAAACAGATTGTAGTGAATCTTCCGCCAGCTTTACATCTATCCTAAATTTTATTTCCATTTTGGAAGAGGCGCAAAGCAGACCGGACCATCACTCAACTCATTCACCCCACCACCCCAACCTTTCAACCAAACTGAAATATATGTTGCTTTTACCTAAATATAAATAGTTTTGCACGGAGATGGTGGCAAAACCATGAGCAACTAATCAATGATTGTAGACTGAATGCTTGGCTCTATTTTTTATTGTTCCAATTAATGGATGGATATGTATCTTTCGAGCTTTAATATACTTATCTCTCATGACTTGGAATGGCTGAGCAAGCTTAACCTTACTGATTGCTACCTGCAAATGGCTGAGTTTTTTTTAACTACAGGGGTAATCCTGCTGTGATTCAAGGAAACAATAGTTTAAAACAGCTAAGTTATTTACATCAAGTAGTCTCCTTATTAATGTCTCCTGAGCTGAGTATTAATCTTCATTTCTAAAGAGACCAACTGGTCAGGTGACAGAAAGCGCATCTTCCTTCATTCTTTAATGAATATTTACTACTTAACTATTTATATAAGCACAGAACTTCATAATGGCTTTCAATTAGAGTACTAAGCTTGAAAATTAAATCATGAAGAAGAAAATGAAAATGATTGATTTTGATGGCACTCTAGCAATTCTTGTTTTACACATTAAATTGGTTTAAATATAAATACATGTAAAATACACAATTAAGAATTAAAATTTAAAAAGTACACTTCTGCGAGTCAATATTAGCCCACTAGCACTTTGAGCTATTTGAAAAACTTTGGTGTGCAAATATACATAAAGACAAATATGCTACAATGTCTCCATTACAACTTGCAGCCATTTTGTAAATGATTCCAAGGCTCTTGAATCTGTACTTTATCCAATAGTCTTTTATGTGTATGGATTACTCTTCATGAAGATAGTCCCACCTCCTAATTGCACATATGCAAAATTCTGTATCATTTTTTGCATCTGGCTCACATTTGCTATTCCTTATGCATTGACATCTTGCTGCAGCAATAACTTATGTATAAATAAAACACAAACTAATCTGATAGGAAAATTACGTATGTGATATAATGAATTCTACATTAATACTTACCTTTATGTAATGGCTTCTCCTTTAACTGGCCACAGCAGTGTCAAGGAAGACACAGGAGTGTTAAATGCAAATACAGTAGTAACAGAAGTTTGCAAAACACAAGTTATGACGATATTTGTTAAAGCCAAAAAGAAAAATCGAACAATATTTTCTAATAAATTGGAATTTCTATCTTTCATTCAGTTGGCTTCATGCACTTGCTACTTGCTTCGGACAGGAATTGTGTATAATTTTCACCATGCTACATAGCATTTCAACTTAAATTCATAATGCAATATTATAGAATGAGTAGAAGTGAAAATAATTGAAGAAAGCGTAAATACTACTTTATTAAACACAATTTTCATCTATATTTATATATCACTGTAATTACCTGTTAAACCTGTTGCATGTGTCTTTCATTAACAAGAAAATCTGGTATAGATTAGCTAAACAGTGTACATATTGATTTTTTTTTAATCAGTTGCATAGTTAAATCGATTAATGGAGGTGGAAGGGGGAGTGGAAAAATAGACTCTGAAAAGTAAAATTAATAAATATGAGTATATTACTATATGCTGAATCAATATAAGGGCTTTGAGAAACTGAATGACATATTGGGATACCAATATTCAAGTCAGATGCTGTTTGCTAAATTATAAATGTCTGTAATTAAAATCCAGAGGCTGTTTCTATAAATGATTTAGTAAGTTATTTCATGTTTTGTCATGGCTGATTAGCAACATTAAATTAACTTTTTCTTATTCAAGTCTTTGACTTTTCTATTTATTTAAAGGGCCATTGTCAACAGGAATTTTGGATTGCAGACCAATCAGTCCTGTAGACAAACTGTTTGAATGAAGGTCACATATGTACATCATAAATAGGTTGAAAATTTAAAAGATAATTTATTTAGGGCAATCTTCTGCTCCCTGTAATGGCATGGACAATAGCAAGAAAGTTAAAACAAATGGCAAAAACAGAAAAACTAGATTCTTGTGATGAGAAAAAATGTTCTGATTTGTCTCCTTGTGATGAGCAAGAGGAGGTCTGAAGCTTGAAAATGAGTGACAACTACCTTAATTCCATGCACATGCATCCGATTAAACTCGCCTCATTTCTGTCCCTCGCCCAAATCTGCTCTCCTTCCCTGAAAAACTAGATTCTGCCAATTCCCAAGATGAAGTTCAGAGCAGGAACCTGATGGCTGTAACTTTCCACTTGCATCTCCAAGTTTTCATCCAAATGTGTGTTAACCACTACAGTCCTGCATGCTCCATTGACCCTGTTTTCTTTCACCCTTCATCCAAGTAAATTGGCAATGGCAAACCACCAGCCTCAACTACATTATCATGGCTGCTTTCAGACCAACTGTATCACCATTTCATCCTTCAATGATTTCCCTTGGAGTCTCATGACAGTTATGACATGCATGGTTCAGCCAGGTTGCTTTGCAAGCAAGCACACCCACTCCTGGAGTTCTTAGCTTTATTTCTTAGTGCTCATTCATTTTGTACTTACTTAGAGGCTGCCAGCGCTGTGGCTTCCATTGCTTCTTATTGTATACAGAGAGGCAGCAGCTTAATGATGTTGGAGCACTGAACAGTCAGGAGGATGAGCATGTTGGTTTACAATACTATTATTTCAATGTCACACTTACAGCATGTGCCAGTAGCTTACATGGCCAACACACTGAATGGGATTCATTCAAATGGTCAGGTGTGAAGGTTAAAGGTGAACATTCCATAATGCGGTCAAGGTGGACTTCAATAAAGTCAGGGAGATCTGCCACAGTCAACCAAGGGTTTTGTCAAATCCAGCCTACAGGGTTGACCACAGTCAGTCTGCAGTTAGGTACAACCAGTCCAGGATTGCAGATACGTCTTTCAGGGTGCTGTGGAAACATCAGCCCCCGGAGTGGGCTAATCTTTCCTGCAATGAGACAAAGAGAGGGTCTGCATCTGATGACCGTGAATAGAGAGAAGCTAGTGGTGATGTGTGAGCAGGAGAAACGATAAAGTGTCCGCAGTGAGGTGAGTAGAACCACAGACTGCAGGAAGGGTTAGTAGAATGAGGAGCTCTTGAGTGGCATGATGCATGCAATAGTGAGAGTTGTAGACTATGAGCCATGGTGAACCGTGTGCGCAGATTCAGAGTTACAGTGAATGGTGGTCCTGTGTTTTGTCGCTGACAGAGTAGCACGTTCCTTTGCCTAGTATAGGTGGTCATTCTACCTGCATTGCTTTGCCCTGTTTTTCACCCAGGACACTGCACTGACCTGGTTTGCTATTTCCTCAAGCTGGCTGAGTCTGATAACGTAGCCTCCTTTTGCCGATCACCAGGATACAGCACTGCACTCCTCACTGTGCCCAATCCTCCAACGCCTCCAGATTCCTATCATCGAACCTAGGAGTTAACTTACCTTTTCGGGCCAGTTTCTCGGACATAATACCAAAGCACCAACGTTGAAGGCACTTCCTAGCTCTGAGGAATTGGTTCAGAGTTAGGGTTTAAATATGGTACCAGTGGTTAACCATCACAGAATCCTGACAGTGATGTGCATTTTGCCTATCCTACTAATGATCTTATGAGACAGGCACTAAAGAGGCCAGCTATATAAATTTGAGTTGAAGTGTGGAAGATTGCATAAGAAAAGTTGCCATGGGTCATGATGCACTGGGTGCCATGAATCACACTCCAGAAAACTCCAACAAAAAAATGGGAAAATTCAGCTCCAAATATTATTGATGGCTGTTATTATGGTGGATGTTAAGATAGTTTTAGGGGGTCATTGTCATTTTCAGTCAACAACCCTCGTAAATAGGACATCTTTAATTAGCAGATATTATCATAATATCTAAGTGAACACATTTAGATTCAAGCATTTATAGTTAGATCAAACTTGTATGAAAGGCCGTCCATGTTCCCAGGACAAAATTATTCTGATTCCTGTCAAGTACAGTAATACTTTAAAAATGAATCACAAAAGCTGCTGCGATGTATCCAATCTCTAATTCAAAATCTTTAACTTTTGCTTTTTATTTTAGCAACAACAGCCACTAGCTGCCCACCACTTAGCCCTTCAGCAGCAGCTTCTTCAGGTGCAGCAGCTTCAACAACAACACATCATGACTATGCAGCGTTGTGGCTTGCTCACAGTGCAGTCCGGGCAGCCAGGTCTCTCTCTGCAAACACTGGCACAAGGTAAGTGTCAAACCTGGAGAAAGGCTGTTTTAAACAGGCCTCTAAGTTTGGTTGTGCAAATGGGAACTGCCTAGCTACAGCAGTTAAGTTGTTCAGGAGAGGGCAATTGAGCAGTGACAGGACACACCAGCGTATAATATGAAAGCTGTGAATGAGACGAAGCATGAAGTGTAATCTGTGCAGCAACACATCAGGGACACCCTTAGGTAATTCAACAGCCATGTCATTGATTGATTTGAATAGTTGTATGTTACAACTAGCCTGCTCCTTTGGTGTTTAAGAAGCATGTTTAAAGCCTAAGGGTGTCTATCTGCGAGCTATTGACCAAAGAACCTACCGAGTGACTTCAGAGTTACAGTTTTGCTGGTGCAGTAAACTAATAGCAGTGACATTTCTCCCTGTGGAACTGGGATTCTTTGGAAAGCAACGGAGAGTTTGGACAGGCAGAAATACAAAGCAATTTTTTATCACTGCAATAATAGCCCAAAACTGATGTCGTTATGGACCTTAAATCAACTTTATGCTTGCTTGAACATGGTCACCTGAGTATAGAGGTACAAGGACGAAAAAGGTTGAGCGACTATGTTTGTCTTTCAGCCAGGACTACCTGGAATTGAGAAATTGAGTTCTGTGAACAGTAATCAATCACATTTTCCAACAACGTACATTTTTCAAAGTAGTGCCTTTTTTTTATAATGAGGAACACCAGTGAATGTGTTTAAAACTAAATGAAATAAATATAGAATAAAATCCATCATAGTGGATCCTTTTCAGGGTAATCCAATAAAAGATAACACGTGGCAATCTACTTTCTCGGATTGTACTGTAGTATGTTATCGGCAAGCATGTGTATTAACTTATGTTCTCACCAGATAAATAGTGGTTTTATGGTCAGTTGTGGCAGTAATTATTAATAGACTAGCGTAATATTCAGCATATTTGCTGAAACAAAATCTAGTATAATGATTGAAAATTAAAGGACAGTGCAAAGAAATAGGACAGACTGTGGTGTGACCTTCCATGTTGATTTGCTAGTTGTTATTGCTCGGCTAATGCTTGGAAGGTTGTTCTACTGTCCTGTTATAATTTACTATTCTTTGATATGCAAAATATCTGCCCAGAACATGTAAAAATCCTATCAGTCTCATTTCACACTTCTTAACCACTTAGACTCTCAGGAGTCTATTGCCTTATTAGACCTACACTCTCCAGTGCTACCGTAATTAAAATCTTTAGCAGTAGTTTAGTAAAGTAAAGATATTTTGGCTGATCACTTTGAGATTATTATCCAATCCTTGCACCCAAAATGAAAGTAATAAATTAGATTCTGACCTGGTATTCTTCCTGATCTGAAGTGCTTGAATATTTAATTGTGATTTGTAATTAAAATATAGTTAGAACCACAGTTTTTTTTTGCTTTCTGCTTTCAAATTTGCACATTGGTTTTTGAATGAAATCAAATTTTAATGATAAAGACAGGTGATTAAAAAATAATTACTGACATAATATTCTAATTTTGTAGTAAAATTATAAAAGGCCTTTGAATATGGTGCACATGAATTGGTTACATTTACAGCACATTATTTTCAATTATACTTTTCATATTTAAAGAGGAATGCATTTGCCATCAACGTATTGCAAAATATCTGTGATAATAGGTGGCTTGATTTCAAAAGGAAAGTAGCTATGTAGAGCAGGCTGGTTGTGTTGCAATTTGAACAGATCAATTATTGCATACATGTGAAGAATTTACTTTTAATTATCAACATTAAATTAACATATGGTGGGTTACAGTGCGCCTTGTTAGAAGTATTGCAGCTTATAGTTAGGAATTGCCTAATTAAAATCAGACCTTGTTTACATGCACTTTGGTTTGGTAATTAGTGTGTGAAGAAGGATAAGTCTGCTGTTCATGAATCTAATTATACAATACGGGACTATTATTGTTTGATATAGGCATGACTCCAACAGAACTACAGCAGCTATGGAAAGAAGTCACTGGAGCTCCCACAGTGGAAGAAAGTGTAACCAAAAATGGCAGTCTCGACCTTTCTACTAGTTCACTTTGCTCTCCCGCTGCACCACCTAAGACCTCACTACCAGTAACCCTGATGAATGGACAGTCTACGGGTCACACTCCAAAAAGGGAATGGTAGGTATTGATAAGACACTTTTTTTAACATTTGGCACTAATCTAACTGATTACTTTTAAATCTTAAGTACTTTTATATCCACCCACTTGTCTAACTGGTGGTATGTCCATTCATTCATCATAATCTATTATGTGTAATGATGCTGGATTATCCTGCTAGTATTTCTTTTTTATATGAAAAAAATGAGATCTCAGAAGGATTGTGTGGGTAAGTAGCCATGCAATGTTAATGGGATTTTGCACAAAGTAATGTATTAGGACAAGGAATGTACAGTTTGTTGCTGTCCTATTTTCTGAAGAGAGTGGTACAGCAGTAACATGACCATCACCACCATTCACAAATTGACTTCCACTAATCTCATATTTTGAAAAATTATCTGAGTTATGTTGTGATGCTTAATAATTTACCTTTCATAACAAATATTTAGAATCCAGTTCAATCATATTTCTGGCACCCTTCACCCATCTTTCACTCCATAGGTTTGCATACATAAACTTAAGAGAGTCTTTATTGCATGAGTAAACAAATGCAAGTTTAATTGTGTAGCATTTTGTCACTGCTCCATGATATCTATAAGCACTTTGCAGTGCACTAAATTGCAGTGACGATTATCCTATAGGCAAACTTAATAGTGAATTTGTGCACAGTAAGATCACACAAGCAGCAATTGATTGGATGAACAGATCGTCCAATTTTAGTGATGGCTCTTGAACGAAGGACATAGAGCCTTGGTGAAATTGGGACAGTGACTTCTGAAGTCATTCACTGCTTATCAAGCCTGCTGTCTCAGGCCTCTGCTGGTTAAGCAAGGAAGATAGCTGAGCTCTACCCTATGGAAGCATTTAGGATACTTTTAGAGGGGTGAGATACATGACATGAGTTACCAAATCCTATGCCATTTGCAGTGCACCTATTTGAAAAAAACAGTTGAACAGTGTAGAACTACTGCAGTATGTAATTGCACCATTAGAAACCTACCTTAATGCATCCCAGTCAGACAGGCTTTCAGAACTGTCAGGTCCAGAGTATTAATTTTTTTTTTGTTTGTAGACATAAGCCAGTTACAGTTATAAATTTAATTCTCAAAATGTCCTTCAGTCTTGATTAGCTACTAGATAGTTACAACTATTTTTTTCATAAGTTCCTCAGAATTGATTAAGTTGATCACAATAAGTGCAAAAGAATGAATACTTAATATAGACATTGGCTTAATCTGTTCACCTCAGTTTACCCAGCTTGTAATTGTGTTTGTCTCTTGCTATGCTCTTTTGACCAAAGTTATTTTTTCCGCTTCACTTCTTTCTATTGCGCATTGGACTGCTAAAGATTTGTTGCTAATTAGCCCTTACTAGCCACTACTCCTGTACACGCTTAGCTGAGAATTTTTTAGCTCAGTTGGCAGAACAGCTCGTTCACGATGCAGGTTAATGCCAACAACGTGGATTCAGTTCCCGTACTGAGAGGGATTGGCACGATGGTCTTACCTTCTCAACCTTGCCTGTCATCTGAGGCATGATGACTCTCAGAAACCCTGTGATAACGACCACTGGATTCAGTTACCACACTGTAGTCAAGCACCACTTCTGTCTTTTTCTCTCAGCGTTCACACAGAATTGATATTTCAGACTAAGTTGTGGGCATTTAAAGCCTATGTGCTTTGCACTGTGATAGGTAGAAATCTTTTTTTTTTCTGCAGACTTATTCTTGTTATCTTTGTTTTGAGAATAACTTGAGGTAAATAACACAATTTCTGATGCAGCAACATTTGGTTTCAGTACGATGCTGCTTATAAAAATGTACCACTTTAGTGAGAACAGCATCTTCTACAAGTAGCCTCTTATTCTGGAATCAAGTGTGCATTTTAGAATAGATACCTGGCAGGTGTATACTACCTATTTGCTCAAAGTGTTGAATTACAGCTGTGTCTGGAAGTAGTGCTAGAGATGAACAAAGGAAAGATGCCTACAGTTGCATTTAAGACTGTAGTTGCATTTTTGTCAAGCATTGCAGTGCCTGACCAGACTTCAAATGATACTGAAACTTTCCATGTTTGGCTGAAAAGTACTCAGTTCTGTTATCACTGGAGACAAGTCCAGGAGCAAACACCCTGTCAGGAGGGCAGATCATTTTTTGCTGCCATGAAAAATGTTACTATGATGAAATTTGCAAGATGGTTATGTATTTGGGGACTATGTCTTTCATTTCGGGTAAAACGGAGGGGTTCTGTGACCTTTTCCAAAGTCCACCTGACGACAAGACTAGGTGAAAGGGCTGTTTAATATTAAAGGAAGCCTATTTTGTATTGCTGGGAAGAAGGTGTGAGCTATTCACACTTGGAGAGAATGCGAACAGCTTTTGTGTTTACAGTGACTAGTCTTGTAAGTCCCAGAATAGAATAGGGTTCTAAAGGATTACTAATTAGCTTTCCCCCCTTGATTCGAGGCCCTTGTAATTCATACTGCCATGGAAATTAACATTGACAGAGGTATCCCTGGAAAGTCTCAGATGAGTTAGTCTGTCAGGATTCAGGAGAGAGATAGTAGCTAGAGTTCAAAATTCCAAATGGTTCAACGTGCAGGAATTGACATGGGAGTTTGCACTCAATTGGACGGACCAAAACATGAGGCTTTAAACTAAAGCTGGAAGATTTTATTAATTTATGTTGGAGGAAGGTGCTCAGTGGAAAAAAAATGTCACTATAAATGAGATTTCTGAGATTGCAACTTACCAGATGGAGAAAGGAAAAGAACAGTAACATTTGGAAGCAAAGAATCGTCTAAAACCGGCTGCAAAAAAGATGAATGACTACTTATCGGATCCTGTAAAAGTAAATCTGTGAAATCTGTTTTCATTGTGTTGAAAGGAGAACAGGAATGTTCTGATTTATGGATGAAACTAACGTGGTATTTCGACTGTAGTGCATTGAGTCTGTCTATTACAGTGAAAGTTTTAAAACACAAAATCTTGTTATGTTATTCTTTCAGCTATCACTGGAAGTTCACACTTGTTTTTTTTTAATGTCGTCAGTCTCTACAGGGATTATAATAAAAAGGACAAAACAGAAGAGCATCTTTGATGTATTCTTAGAGGATGTGTCAGTCTAAAAAAAATCATTTTTATTCCGTTGTGGACTAAGTAAGAGAATATTTTGGTCTCTTGTTCTGCCCAGTAGCTTAGGTTTTTAGAGCTGTTGAAATCTGTTAAGGAGACAAATAATCTGATTTGGCCTAACTACCCTACTCTTCTTTCTAATTTGTCTTACAGAAGGAAAATTATAATTGAATGATTCAATGTAAAACCCTTTAGAGTATGGTAGGAAAACATTTTGATGGACATTGCTGGTAAAGACTAGCATCCATGATTTTTTATGAAGATATTTGATAATTTTAATAATAAAACTAAAAAACATGGGAGTGAATAGCATTTCTGTAGTAAATGGAATTTTTCAATTCAAAACCTTTAAAATTAAGTAATAAAAATGGTTGGTTCATGTGCGAAAGGCAACCGGAGAACTGAAATAAATCTTAATAAATTGCACAGTTTGTGTTTTTCACCAAAAACTGCATTTTTTATTATGGGTATTATTTTGGTTATAAAGAAGAAAAATCATTGTAAAGCCATTTCTGTCAGTTCTATCAAGCATACTAGAATGGCACTGGGCACTGGTGGGTGATTTTACTGTATAGTTGTTGACTGAACAAAGCTGTTGCTTGATTCCAGTAACTGTTGGAATAAGAATAGTGAATAGGAAAATAGTACGCATTGAATATTGCAGATAGGAACATTGAAAATATAATATGACAGAAGAGATAAAATAAAGTAACATTGAAATTGATCTTCTACATATTTTACCTCAAGAGGCAGATACTACCATTTTACAATGCATGTCTTAAATAACTGATTGTATAAACTGATTAAAATTTAGTGCGTACACATTGCGGTTCACATAGATTAATTCTACATAGCTTTTCTGACATTTCCATAGTTAATTCTATATTCCTGCTCCGCACAGTCTCGATAAACTTGTCCTAAATCGATTTCATCAATGCTTTTCTTTTAAGTTTGGATACTCTCAGTGGTAATATCTTTGGTGTGAATCAACAACAACAATAATTTATATTTATATAACACCATTAACAGAATAAAACAGTCCAAGGTGCTTCATTGGAGAAGAGTTAACAAAATATAATACTGAGCCATTTAATTTGATGTCAGAACAAATGACCAAAAAACCTTGATCAAAGCAATTGGTATTGAGGAATGTCTTAAAAGAGGAAAGTGAGATAGGTAGGCAGAGAGCTGATCAGAGGAAATTCCAGAGCATTGAGTTTAGGGAGCTGAAAGTACGGTAACCAACAACAGGACAATTGAAATTGTGGACACTGAAGAGGCTGGAATTAGATGAGGGTATGGGGCTGCAGGAGATGCCAGAGGTAGAATAGAATATGGAGCATTAGAATTTTAAAATCAAAATGGAAGTTGACTGGAAGCCAGTCTTGGTCAGCGAGCACAGGGGTGATAGGTGATTGGGAGATGGGTGTGAGTCAAAATCTGGACAGCAGAGTTTTGAATGACCCCATCCTTCTCATTATCATTAAAATATTTTCAGCTCAAAAGAATACTGTAAAAATCATTCAATGATGCACAGAATGAGGCTGCTTAAACAATCCAGTGCCACGTCTTTGAAATAGCTATCCAATTAGTCTGACTCTTCCAATCCTTCCCATAAATATTCTCCCTTGAAGTCTTTAACTAATTGATTAAAGATAATTTACTTAAAATAATTCAAAATGATATTCCTATTTCTGCCAAATTTATGGAACAGGCAAAATATTATAGTGAATTCAATATTTTTCTGCTTGCAGGTCTCTTTACTAAATCACAATATGCATTCTTAATATGTAATTGTCATTTTAGAAATGATTCTCTTGGAAAAGTATGGTTGAATACTTTTGTAAATGCTTCAGTAGTTTTTGATTGCACTGCAGTTATGACTTGT